AAATTCTCATTTATCAGTGGTTCGCGGGGATTCCGTATTTATAATATTCGTTGGCACATAACACGCGAAGTATGAAACGACTCTTAACGAATTCTTTCTCGCCCTTTCAGTCTTTCCAACGTAACGGAACAGTCATCAACGTAACAGATGTAAATGTTTCCGCAATTTTCTGTTGTCTACAATTAATTATCGGCGAATTAAAAAGGTTGACGAATGTAATATCATTTGCGCTAACACGAGCGCGGGATTGATACCGTGCAATTAAAATCAGGTACGCTAAATGGGGATTAGCTGTGCAGCTACGGTCGCGTGGAGAATGACGAGTATTTATCGCGATGGGTCGTTTAGTTGGAAACGTTGCACTTCGCGGACGCGTTCATGTGGCCGCCATCACTTGTTCAATATTGTCCCGTGATTAGCCGCGTTCTTTCCTGTTCTACCCGCGACAGGCCTCGCGTTCGTTGATCAATACCGAAATTGCTCGAGCGAAAACCGGGCATCGCTGGCCGTTTAAAAACACACCAATCTCGTCGGCGGCCGCTCGTTTCGTGTCGCCGATAATCGTACCGCGACCGTACGCTATCCACGGTTTTATCACTTGCTGCAACGGCGAATCGTTACGTTAACGCGCGACGGCAAACGTTACAGCCTACCGCGCAAACATTGCGAGGCGACGTGTGTTCTCTCGTGAATACATTTCTTTCCGTTGAATAAATAAAGATGAGCTCTAATCTACTCTTTTCTTGATTGACCACCATCTGGTGAAGTTATATATTAATTAAAGAACATTTCGATCTTCGAGCTGGATTCCAAAAGAATCTTCCAAGAAGTGTTTCTCTAAATTTCGCTGACGTTCCTAATTTGCAAGTCAATGCTTTCCAATAATTTCTCCGCCACTTCTCTTTCCTCCATTTTATGCAGTACACAGGGAAAAAAGGTGACAGCGGTACCGTGCCATATACCGAGTGAAAAAAAGGCGACGACACTTTCGAGAGAAATTACCTTCGCCGGTGTTCTAAAGAATAAACACGCAGCAATGCATTCACAGCGGGGGGAAGTAATAGCGCCTCTCTCGCCGAGTAACAATCTTTGGTCGTCTATCGTCACTCCATTGAAATTGCAGCTCGGTCGCCATCAGAATTACGGCCTCTCAGTTTTCATTATCGGGGGACGACGATCTGTAATAGCGACGTTTTAATAGCTCGGCTGTCAGGTTAGTGGAAGAGACAGCAATGGATCCGAGAACGGTGTCTCGGAGGATACACGACCGGGAGATTATCATTGCTGGATGGAAAACTTATCCGAAGAGTTAAATTTTCGGTAAAACGATTCCACTTTGATGGTGTCTTGAGACTTATCTCGCTATATGATGATACAAAGAATATGAAGGATACCATTCTTCACGAACTTCTACTTGAATATCGATATCGAATATTTGGTTAATTACTGCGTATTCGGAGAACAAGTCGAGAACGGTCGATGTATTCCCACGAGCACGTTTTCCTTTGAATATTACACGAATATCATGAGGTAAAATTCACCTGAACCTTCAGTAGCCCCGGATTCCCTTTGACTGACCGGCCAAAGAGTCCGTCCCGAGGCGACCATGACCCCAAGGTCCTATCACTGCTAACCTAGCGAGATTCTAATGATCTTGGCGACCCCCCAGGCTTTCGGATCTCTAGTTTGTCTTCCACGATACTACAATCTAGTCTCCATTCAGATCTTCGGCACCCCCGGGAAGAAATTACCGGGAAATGACTTCCGCCAAAGATCCACAGTCTAATCAGTGCAACGGATGACTAGCGTTTCGCCCTTAATAATTCACAAAAGGGAGAAACGTACCATGCGCACATTCCGGGAATTACGAGATCGTTCAAGGGACTCTGTTAAGAGCAAACCTGAGCCGGCGTTCTCAAAGGAATTCCCTGCACAGCCCCCTGAACGTTAAAGCACGCGTGTTATCCCAGAAATAAGCGTTGGACTAATTCCTCCCAGTGGCTCTGAGATTCCGTTGTTAATAAGTCAACGCAGATTACAGTTCCCGACGCAATATTCCGCGAATCTGTTGCCTGATTTTCTTATCAGTAGACTTCCCGTTTCATTGAACGCCTCCCATCCCGTGCGGATTTTAGTCATCAATGTTATTCACGGTTGCGGAGGCGAACGACTTCTGCGCAATTGGCTCGGCGAACGTTTCCGTTGTAATGGCGCCGGCGAAGAAGGGCTAAAGGGCGGCCTCCGCAAATGTCGAAGTTCAACCACCTATTGTTACTACCCGGGCGGCCCCGGTGTTCGCTTGTGCATGCACATCTGGGCCAAGACGCCGCTCGAGAGTAATGTAGTTTGTTCGCGGCAAATGAGCGTGCCTCGACGCGGCCGTTATCGACGTGCTCGCTCCGGCGAATACGACACGAAGGCGACGCTACGGTTCGCAGGTGTTCCACGCACAGCTGGAATGACCGCCTCGAGATTCCGAAACGTCGAGTCGCGAGTTACGCAAGACCATGTCCGTCTCCGTTTCGACGATCTTGAAATATGTTATCAAGGTTACTGTCCGAGATCGAAGAAGGTTACGTTTGTACGTACGAAAAATTTAGCTTCCTCTGGAACTTGAAACTTTCCAGTTTCAGGACTCAAAGTGGCGGAATCGCGATTCACCAGGGTCATCGAAACCGTACGCAGAGGACCGCATTCGGGTTTCGGTAAACTCGAAACTTCGGATACTCTCGAACGTCCCCGAACGTTCGATCTCCCGCAAGGACTCGAAGTTTACTGTGATCTCGAAAGCTTTTCGGAGTTGGGAACGGCGCTAATGCAGTTCCCGTCGCGAAGCGCGCAGCGTCCCACGCGAAACGAACGTTTCACGGCGAGCGGATCGTTGCAGATGTCGCCGGAACGGAAATTAATTACCATTTGACGCGTGTGCGCGACAACGCGCTCGGTTTATAATAATAACTTCGCCGCGCGCCGATTGTCAGCTCGGCTGGCTCCGCCGACAGTGGAATCCTCAGCGCGACCAGGACAATCGCTTCACGCCCCTGATCGTGATCCATTGAATTATACCGGCCGCCCTGTTGTCGGCTGATATATCGAACATCCAGCCGTTCCTCGCGGCTATAACCGGCGTGTAAAATATTGAACGTGTCAGCCTGCCGTTTTGGGCGTGATGTACACGCTCAGCTAGACGCTCGAATCGATTGCCGATGAAATGACCCGGCGAGTGGAAGCTTCCCCCGAAACTGCGTTATTATACGCTGCCAGCTTTAAGGGGCTACCACGGTTCTCCACGTGTGCCGGGTCCTTTTGTTTTTCGCAACGCTTCGCATAAATACGGTCATCGCGGAGCTTCTTTATAGGGCTGTTCTGCCTCGCTTTAAACGACGCGCCCGTGCGCGGTGCTGCTTCGAAGTGCTTGAAGCTTTCGCAACACGATTTTATTGTAGTCCGTATTGTATGAATTTGAATGAGGAACGAGGATCACATTTTTCGCATGCACACGTTAAACTGTTTTATGTCGGAGGTATTGTCTTCCGTTAGTTCCGCGCTTTCGGAATAAAAGAGGCGTCACCGAATGATGCGCAGAGATTTCAGCGAGCGCTATGGGAATACTTGAACCATTGAACTCCGTGCACTCGTCGGTAGTTTAAACGCACGAATTCAATGGGACTGTAGTTGTTGATAGTTCGAATAAGTCAGTTCAGCTTGAATTCTACTTGATTCGACCATTCCCGATACAAGTTTCGCGCTGCCTGGAGTTTCAAGCTTCTATCTTGCATCCGAATTTCCCGGATCGGCTGCATCAGCGGGACAAAGCGGCGCCGTGCTCGAGTCGAGAGCTGTTGGGCTATTTACGCAGTCAATTATTCACCGGGCGATAGCTAATTGGGGCGAATCCGGCGATCTGTTCGGCGGCAAGATGTATTTCTCGGCGTCGCAAGGTGTTTATTAGCTGTAGGCGGGGGCTAATGAAGACGCTGTTAATAAGCTTGTTAGCGACGTGGCCGGCAGTCGCAGCCGTATCGCGATGGTTAGCCTTCTGCCGAGTCAATGGATGCCGGCATAAAGGGATCCATTCTCGGCGCTCTCTCACGGGCAACTTTGATGAATAGTTAGACGCGGCCGGCCGACGCAAGCACGTCGCACTCCAAAGTATTTAGAGACACGCGACCTGACGCGGTGAAAAGGACGCGCGAGTATCTGCGGAGAATTTGAAACGCCGTGCTCCGGTTTCCATGGAGAATGTTCACCCGATTCTGTGATAAATGCTTCGCGAAGTGCGCTCCCGTGCTTGACACATGCTCGCTTCTGATTCGTGGTCCAGATACCCTCGCCCGCTAAAATTTCCAGATGTTATTCGAATAAGCACGCCGATGAAGTAAGTTTCGCACGGAGACTCATTAGGATCCGTTCGTTTATCTAATTCTCATTGTTCGGAGATTGCAAAGCGAGCTAGTGGAAACAGGATCCATAACAGTTTCCCGATTGTTACGTGGATAGTTGCACTATCTCAAGGTAAAACGACGTGAATAACATCGTGTTAAATACCAGTGGCTGATGCAACACACGCGATTTATGCCATCCCGCGGCAGCCGACTGTCTTTTACGGCGCTGAAGCTAGACAAGGGAACACTGGTAACTCGCTTATTGACCCACACTCGCGTTTCAAACTTTGTACCGCCGTATTTCGACAACGAAGACATTCGTATTGTTTTGCCTTGCAACCGCGGATACAGAATCAACAATAGTTATTGCCGTGTGGGATAGAATCCTCCTGACCTTTTCGAAGATGTAGGAGAGTAAATGTACACGTGGTTGTTAAATTACTGCTTAAGTTACGACGAATTTCAGTTGCCGCTTCCCACGTCCACTTTCGTTTAGGATGTTATAATTTCGCTATTACGGCCGGTCGTAAATATTCTCTGGAAACTGTAGACGTAACGATACCGTAAAGAAGTTCACTCATAGTTTTCCAACACGATTACGTTTGTCTTTTGCAGCTGGAGCCGCTTCTGAGGAAACTAACCAAAGGTCCAGTTCTGCACACAATCGCCACTCTCTCACGAAGGGTAAGTATATAGAACGATAGACGTACAGATGTAGAAGTATCTAAAGCACAAGCATATTTAACCCTCGGACACCGGGATCCAAGTTTCATTTCAATTCAATTCGAACTTCATTATTTCATCTTTCTCTATTGAATAATAAAGAGTTCTTGATCGATCCTTCATTGATTCATTGTGTCTCTTTATCGATTATTCATAATCATTCGTTCACTTGATATTCATTTGTTTATTCTTCTATCTGCAAAATCTGTTTCCATTTCGCGTCGGTCAGAATGATTCCGCGATCCGCAGTCAGAGGGTTAAACATTCCTTTCAGGCACACGTAAACGTTGCAATGCTTTCATCCGTCGCCCCGATTACACGTATTACAGGCTACCGTACGAATCGCGAACACCGTGCATGCCCGTGGACGCGTTAGTCGCTGAACGAATGATTTAGCCTCCAGTATGGCATGCCATCGCGAGAGTATCGTTTCCGTTTCCCTTTTTGCCGCGACGGTCGTCCGCAAAATCATTTTTTTATTTTTTTTCGTCTTTCCGTCCCGTAAACCGCAACTAGGGGAATCCTTTCTCGTTGATCAGTGACTGTAAATTCACGAACAAAGCCAGCCACTCGTCCCCGAATGCAAAGGAAACCGGCGCAAAGGTCTCCCGTCGTTATTTCTCGGTTAAAAAACAAGGTTTTTTCGAGAGATTCGGTTGAACTGCGGTTGCGACAAAACGTCTGCTCCTGGAACGCGTGCACCGATGAAAAAGCCGGGCAGCAGTTGTGTTTTCATTCAAGGCTAAGCACGACACACTCGCTCGTTCAGTTACGATATTCCCTTGCTAGAGTTATTCGTCTTTGTTAGCGGGTGGAACAGTAAGAGAAACGCAGTCGAAAATTTATTTGATTCGTTCGAAAGGCGTGACACAATTACAACTGCGACAGTTTCTCTGCCGCCGTAAAGGCGTCGAAACAATTCTTCAAGCGCCATTGTAGCTCTGCACGCGTTGTTACAAAAGATTTTCTTGTTTGATCTTAATTTTAACATTCTGGAATCACAGTTTTAGTCGTAGAGTTGAAAACACGGTTCAGCCTCGTGCGTACAACAAACGACGCGCGAACGCGGTATTTTGGAGCTAATCGAAGGTACAAAAATTGCACATCTATCGACAAAACCACGCGAACTGCAGCCGAATCGAGATGAAATCGATGCAAATTGGTCTCGTGTACCCGTCGAGCGAGCATCTAGCTCGTGCCAGCTAACGAATACAATTTCTACATGTGTCGCAAAACGGGGCCTGGATTTAATAACGTTTTAATTCCATCTCTCGCGCTTCGCTTGGCCCGAACCCCGCGCGTTCCGAAAGCGGGTTGGTGTAATCAACCGTGGGAAACGTTCGTGATATTGATAATAACGGGTGCATTTGTCTGGAAGGGTAACAAAAGATCGATGATCGCTGAGCCCTAAAATATCCGTTTCACCGGGAGAGCCTCGAGAAATCTGGATCCCGTGTTTGAACACACGCGTTTGGAGGCTGATCCTCCGATAGGTGAAGATGAGAATGGTTTCAATCGGATATATTGGATTCCATTGTTGTTGTCTGTCGGATGGGAACACAAAGCGACAGTTTTCCTTGCTCGGGAAATAGTTTTACCTTCCGCACCATTTACTCCACCAAATAATACAACGATTCCGACCGGCGTGCTTTTTAAGATCATTACACAGCTCCAACGAGACACTTGTTCAAACCGTTAAATTATCCAGGCAATCTTCTCTTCTTTTCTCCAAGGAGCGGTGAAATTTTCCCTTCGACGTAAACGTTCACAATTTCCGGTGTAATCTTATAAAAATGGAAATATATATGAACACCTGTAGACTGAAATCACCGCAGCGCCTTGTGATTATCTTTCCGTGGGTCGAATCAAGGGACCGACTTCATTACGAACTCGTAATTCCTGGCGCGGTCGAGGCACAGCGCTTCCAGAGATAAGGCCGAGTTAAATTACCGACGGAAAAATTAGAGGGGACGATAACGTAATCGGAGGTGTGTTTCGTTAATATCAGCGGGCGCGTAACGCGCGAGCGCAATTATCAGGCCAGAAACGGAAACAACGTTGCGCGGGATCGTTGCACACGCGACCCACCCTCCGCCGGGTTTCGCTCGTTAAATATTAGTAGAACACTCCGGTGACGCTGAGATGAGAAACCGGGACAATTTCGATCGTCACCCGCAGACTCTGACGCGCCTCCATTAAAATGCAATACGAGCCACTCGACGCGTTGCGTTCGAATCGTGCGGCTCGCCGTGTAGCGAACCGGTGAAACCGAATTCAACGTGCCGGTGTCGCGCTACGCTGGGAATAGAGAAGCTACTTCGTGATAGTTCAAGGCCACTCGCTGAACGACGCCTGGAATTTCGTGTCCACTCGGATTCTTTTTCGTGTTAACGCTTAAACAACCGCGTGTTATTTCTGGCAATTTGTCACCGTCACCGACGATTTTATTGTTTTCGAATAACAGATAAATGAAGGTAATGAGAAACTCGTGACCAAGCGCTAAACATGTTGAATTATTTGAATGAGAACCGTGATAGTGGAAATTTAATATACTGTTCGAACTGACCTATTTCAGAATATTTATTTTGCTGATATTAAAACGAACACGGTTGATGCTAGAGATTGTAAAATAAATTTCTAAGTTCCAGTATTAACTAAAAATTAGAGATTACTCTAATTCCTCGGTAATTTCAATGTTCACGCTAAAACTAAACGAACCAAATGCTCCGTATGATCGAACATTCAAACAATTCCGTTCGACGTTCATCGAGCGTTTTTTCCTCGCGTCGAATGGCCCATTTCGCGTTCCCACCGCGAGACGCGTTGAAACGGGGTAAGATCGGTGCCCGAGACGTTTCAAGGAATAATTACGCGTCACGATAGCGGATCGAGTCCCGGCAATAAATCATCGATCCGCTCTCGCCCGGTACCCGGCGTCCACTCGACATTATGCATTATTCGAGAAGCAGTAGTATCGCGCCAATGAGCCAGACGAGGTGCTCGAGGAGCAAGGATAGGGACGGTTGGCTGAAGTGGAGAGCAGTCGACTCGAGAAGCGCCGCGAGGACAGTGAAATAGTAAGAACGGCACGGCCGAGGTAGATGGCAAGAACAGATTCCTATTGTTTTCCGACCCACTTCCTAACGCTGGAAGATTAACAACGTCCCCAGCCTCTATCTACCGACAGATTTTTCAACGCGCGACCCGCGGGACACGGCAATCCGCGACCTTGTCGCGCGGAAACGCTCCGCCGCGTTCCGCTTCGACGGCGGATCCCCGTGAAATTTATGGCCGCCGCTATCGGGACGAGACCGGCCGGTGATCTCGAATTTCCTTGAAAAAATTCCGCGCTGACCTATTGCCGGAAGGATACGCTTCCCTCCCCGCGCCGTTCGAGACCCATTTCTCCCGCCGACGCGTCGTTCCCATTTCTTCCCCCGGGAATCTCGGGAGTCCGTTGTTGCAAGAAACAATTTAGGACGAAAAGTATTCTCGCGCGGCCCGGTATTGCGGCAAAGATTGGAAAAGGGCTTTTGTGTGCACGCATGGATTCGCGGCGCATCCCGAAGATCCAAGGCGCGTTCTCTCGCCTCTCGCCGCGTTGTTTCACGGAATGCCGTGCAACGCAACGAACCAGCCAGCCGCGTCTCTATTGGCAACAACAATGGGCTCGCGCACGGCTCCGCAGCCTGGCAACCCGGTCTTTGTCGTTTCTTTCCCAGTGTCCGGGAAGTGTCTTTTTGATGCTCGGTTGAATATCGCGCCCATTCTTTCTTAGCCGCCCGTCCACGGATCTCCCGTGATCTCGTCAGAGAATGGGAATCTTTGTTCGCCGAATCGAGCCGGGTTCTCGATCGTAAGGCACGCGATGAGCCGTTTCAATTTGATAATTCTTCGAAGACCAGCGCCCAGAGGTCCGCTGATTAAAGCAAACTTTCGAATGGAGTTACCGGGAAACCGGGACCGGCTCGATAAAGAGGCAGGGCCACTCCGATCGAGTAATAAGTTTGCAATTGGAGATTGCCGCTCGTAACCATTGAACGCCGGAAGCTCCCGATGAAGCCCTAAATCTGCGCCGAAACGTTCGCCGGCAGATAAGGCCTGGAGGGTGGGGTAGCAGCAGCACTGAAACGGCTGGAACTATCGCGATCCAGGGCTCTCGGCCGACAATTGGGTTTCTTCACGGTAAAATTTCAATTCCGACGCGGCCTACGAAGAGACCAGATGAAAAGGCTGGATTTCCATTGTTTTCCGACTCACTTCCAGGCGACGGAAGATTAACAGAGCCAGACGTGTGTATATCCACCGCCGAGGGCCTCTCGCCGTTTTTCGAGCGTTTTCGCGGGAAGCGGGGCCCATTGTAGCACGAGACCGCTGTAATTTAAATCATCGTCCAAAGATTTCTCCGCTGAAAATTCCCCCTTTTTTTCCCCGTGCCTCTCGTTCCTTTTCCCCCCTGCTTTTCCCTCCTCGCCCCTCTCGCTCCCGTGTAATCATCTTGAAGCGGGCGCGCTCTCATTTAC